AGTCTGATTTAATTTATTGTTGTTGCTACTAAAATCTTTGTAAGTCGAAATAAAAGTTTTATTTGTGAAGTTCAGTTTTTAAAAAAGTGTTTTTCCCAAGAACATTCATAATTGACGCCACGAAACAAGCAGCTAAATTAAAATGGAAATGGGCTGGACACAACGAACGTCTCGAAGATGGTAGATGGAACAAAGAAGTCGCAAACTGCGACCGTACGATGCGAAAAGATCAAGAGGAAGACCTCAAATGCGCTGGAGCGACGATATCAAAAGAGTCGCAGGACCAATGTAGAAACGCCTAGCACACAACAGGGATGAATGGCGAGAAATGGGAGAGGCCTTTATTCAACAATTCGGATAAAAAAAGGGCTTTAAAAAAACCGTTAACGGTAGACTTTGAATACGACAGTTTTCATAGTATTACCTTTTTAATCGGTCTGTGTGGCTTGTCTTTATTGGTAAAAATGAATTTTTTTGTAGAAGAATTAACAGATATGATCTGTTAACAGGTATGATCGGGGTATTAGAAGAAATTCTGAGCAATTAATTACTTGAATCCAGAATATATCACAAGCGACATCCTGAACGGAGGAAGTCAAACGCAAGATTTTTTGAAAAAGATTAAACGCAAGATCATTTTGTCGCTGTGGGTCAGTTGTATATGAAAAAAAAAATGAGAGAACCAAAACTGTTCTAAGTAAAGAAATGGAATATGATGTACTGATAGTTAATACTAAAGATTAACGGCGGCGGCAAAAATCCTTAGTAAACTTAGTTATTTCTTCTGGATTTTCTTCAATGGTGGGCTCTTCTATTGTTCTAAGGTCATGAAAAAGTTTCTCCAAGTATTCTTCTCATACTTTCTTTTTATCTTCTTTGGTTATGGCAAGATTACCTGCATCATCTGTTATTTTTCCGTTGTTGCGTTTTCGGAACTTTCCAGCTATTTCCTTCACCTTTTGATGAACATTGAAGTTATCATATCGACTCTGATACTCCTCTATTTCTTGACATTGCTCTGTTTTTGTTTTTCTTTAGCTTCTCTTATATTTCTTCTGAAGACGATGGTATGTATTCTCTTATATTCTTGGAGATTTTCTTTGGTTTTTTTTCTCAAACTTTTGGTAAGTTCAAGTCTTTCATCGGCTATCCAGGATTTCCGTTTCTCTGTATCTTTGTTCAGGTGTTGTTTTTTATTTCTCTTACTATTTCTTGTATGATGGTAAGACTTTCCTTTATAGCTTCTGCATTTTTGCATTTTAGCACCTTTGTATTAAGGTTTTCTGTGTGTCTAAAATTGTGTGTTTGCTATACCACGTAGTTATTAATCACCCTGTAGAATTTCACATGTTTTTGGATATCTTGTACCACAATAGAATTATCGACCGATGTTGTACTAAAAACTTATCCTGTATATAACACACGTAAGACAGGCAAAAATAAATGCGGCAGCTAAAGAAGGTAATGAAGCATGAAATATGTCAGTGCGGCGCATAAGCTTCCTAAGCAACACACAAACATAACCTAAAATCATTCGCTTTTGAAACTTATACTATGTCCTCTTTCATTTCTTTATTACCAATTAGAGCAGTGTGGTCCAACCTCTAATCTTTCAATCCTGTCTAACTTTCCGTAATCTTAAAAAAGCATTAACCTTGAACACCCACTCCCGATGAGCGGGCAGTTAGCTTCAGTCAGCTGCACATGCCGTGTTGAATTAACAGTGGCGAATAAATTGAATGTTAAATTCAGAGTGAATAGTTACAAAAAACGCAAAACTTCTGAAGAGAATCGTACGTTTCAAGAAAAATCGGAAAATCAATATTTCTTTATCGAATTAAAAAGCAAACCTCAGTGCATTATTTCACAATACATAGTACTCGCGGTATCAAAAGAATACAATATTAGTAGGCGTTATGAAACCCAGCACAAAACAAAATACGACAAATATCGAGGTGAAGCTTGCAATACTCTTGTAAAAGAACTTAAAGCTATCAGCGTATGAAGTATGTAAGCTTAGCAGCATCATATAAAGTATGTTTAGAGTTTCTTAAAAGTAAAAAAGCATTTAGAGATGAAGAAATGATCAAGCGGTGTGCCGTTAAAATGGCGCGATCCTTTAGAAATGAAAAGACGGCTGATAATTTTGAATATGTTTCAGTTTTCCATCAAACTGTATCTAGAAATGTTGATGAGCTGAATACTCATGTATTTAAAAAATAGTCGACACAGTTCGTGATTGTTTGTACTACTCCTTAGCCCTGGACGAATCTGTTGATATTGACAAAAATCAACTATTAACTTTTGTTAGATGCATCAGTGAAGATTTTTGTGTAACTGAGGAAGGTCTAAAACTGTACCACATGGAAGACGGGGCCAAAGGTATAAATATATTTAATGCAGTTAGTAACGCTGTAAAAAATATAGGCGGTTTTCAAAAGTGCTCTTGTGTTTGCACCGACGAAGCAAAAGCAATGTCGGGACGCATCACGGGATTTGCTGGACTTTAGCGGGCAAATGGTGTTAGCTGTATTATGTATTATGTATATATTATGAGAAGAGGCTATCTGCGGAAAAGTAATTAAAATCAACGATACTATGAAAACTCTAGTGCAGATAGTAAAAAAACTTAAGAGGAGGAAACAGAGCTCAGCGACACCGAAAATTCATTTCTTTCTTGGAGGAATTAAATACTGAATATAAGTACGTCCCCCCACATTCAGAGATACGCTGGTTGAGTGCAGGTGAATGCCTTAGAAATTTTTTTTTTTAAGAAAAGGGATCTTACTGTTTTTTGAAACGGAAATTATTATCAACATGGACGTATTTATAACAAAGGTTAAGAACATTAAACCTCACTTAAACACATTAAACCTGCAACTCCAGGGAAAAATAAGACAGTATCACAGTTGGTTGGTCAAATTGAGAAATTTCGCAAAAAACTTGATCTTTTCGAGAACTGCATGAAAATAAACGACCTCACACATTTTCCTGCATGTTTCGAAATAAATCAAAAAGAAACCATGGTCCATTTCTCGAGGTTTGCAAAAGTTCTTACATAAATAAAAAGAGAATTCGATAAAAGGTTTTTGGAATTCAATGCACTAAAGCCCGATATTGAGCTTTTTAATAATGCAATGGTACTCAACATCCAGAACCAATCAGCAGAACACCAATTAGAGATGTGCGAACTACAATCGGATATGTTTTTTTAAGCAAATGATGAATGAAATTTCAAGTATGATGAATGATACTGGAAGACAAATTCTACAGGCAAAGGTACTGATATCGGTTTCACGCAATATATAGAGATATGAAATAGGAATTTAGAGAACGCAGAGTAATGAACCAAGGATCTGAACTTCTGCCTACCATAACGATAGAAGAAGTGAAACGAACTCTAAAGGAAATGAAAAACAACAAGGCTCCGGGAGCTGACCAAATAGTAATAGAAACTGTTAAAGTAGGAGGCAAGAAACTGCTGGAAGTAGTAACTGAACTATTCAACCTATGTCTAAACCAAGGTATTGTCCCTACAAAATGGAACAATGCAATTACTATCCTAATACACAAAAAAGGAAATATATCAGACCTAGAGAATTATAGACCGATAAGTCACATCTCTACAAATGGTTTACCAAGATCATCACAAAACGTTTAGAACGAAAATTAGATTTCTATCAGTCTAAGGAGCAAGCTGGGTTTAGGGAAGGTTATGAAACAAATGACCACCTACAAGCACTTAAAATACTAATTGAAAAATGTGTTGAATATAATAAACCACTCACGTTGATTTTCATAGACTTTAAAAAAGCTTTTGATACCGTGGAATTACCGGCAGTATTAGGAGCATAAGAACAAAGCCGAGTAGACTATAGATATACAAATTTGATAAAACATATATACAACAACGCAACAGCATCTGTTAAACTCCATGGCTTTACCGATAAATATAGAATTGAGCGAGGTATTAGACAGGGCGACACCATCTCCCCCCAACTATTCACTGCAGCTCTGGAATATGCCTTTAAAAAACTAGATTGGGCTAAAAGGGGAATAAATATTGATCGTGAATAATTAAGCCACTTGCGCTTTGCAGATGATATTGTCATTATAGCCGAGAGTTTAAATGAAGCTCACAAAATGATGGAAGAACTAAAACAGGCAATAGAACAAATAGGCCTGAACATAATCTTTGAAAAAACAAAATACATGACCAATTTAGTTCAAAGTAATGTTATGAGGGTAGATGGGAACAAAGTACATCAGGTCTTTAGCTATATCTATTTAGGGCATGAAATTAGAATAGGAAAAGACAATCAAACTTGTGAGATCCAGCGTCGCATAGGCTTGGGATGGGTAGCATTTGGCAAGATGCGAGATATTCTAAAAGAAACGCTACCGATTTGCTTGAAGAAAAAGGTTTACAACCAATGCATACTGCCAGTGATAACATATGGTTCTGAAACAATAACTTTAACAAAACATTCTGCAAATAAATTGAGAGTAACCCAAAAAAAATGGAAAGAGGAATGTTGGGAATAACTAGAAGAGATCTGGTACCAAATAGGATAGTGAGAGAGAGGACTAAAGTGACAGATGTCATAGAAAAAATTGCACAAGCCAAATGGAAATGGGCTGGACATATAGCACGTTTAAATGATAATAGGTAGATCAAAAGACTCATAGAATGGAGACCTAGAGAAGACAAAAGACACCGAGGCAGACCACCAAAAAGATGGATGGACGACTTGAGAAAAACAGTCGGAAATTGGATACAGAAGGCGTAAGATAAAGAACAGTGGAAGGACATGGAGGAGACCTATATGAAACAGTGGATGCAAGAGGTTGAGGAATGATGATGATGATGATGATGATGATGAAATAGGGAACACAACAACTTACTGAAATAATGGACATAAAAACAATAGTATGTGAATAAGAATAAACTAGGGAACTATAAATATTTTTGTTCTATATCAGTTAATAGAAAATAAAAATCTACTCACCCGTTTGCTTGACTAGTAGTATGAATGGGTGTTCCGTCTCCAGTCCTTAAACTTCTTTGTATTATCATTGTGTTTGGAGCGAGTTTTAAATCTTGAGCCATGCCTACTCTTTTTGCAAGTTCTATTAACGATGTAGTTAGTGTATATTTAGTTCCATATTCAGATGCTCTGTAATCCCATGGAAACGTGTGATGGAAATTGTGCCAACCTTCACCAGCTGTTAGAAAGGACACAACTGAGTTTTCGCTTGGTAATATATTTCTGAAAATATTAAGATTATCATATTTTTAATTTTCATACCATTTTCTTCATATATAGAGGAGAAGATACAAATAGGGGCTATGCTACTAATATGGGCTATTGCAATTAATATGAAATACACACCACCATATATACGTCAATAGCTTGACTAGACACTCTTTAGTCTAAAATAATAACTTTATAAAGTTTACAGTGACCTAGGTCCAGTGACCGTTGAAACAATCACATGTTAGTGTTGACGCTGTTCAAGAAATTTTTCAGGCTGATATTTTCATAATATTTTCGACTTTTTTTTTAATTTGTGTTTCATTTTAGTTACTAATATTTGAATATATGTTTGGTTATGTTGCAATATGGGCTAGCGTGGTGCTACAAATAGTGGGTTTTTTCTTTTCAGAATGCCTAGAAAAAGTATTGTAAATCCAAAACAACGAAAGTCCTGGGATCCAGACAGCATGAAATCTGCTATTCAAACTGTGAGAGGTAAAACGATGGGTACATTAAAATCAGCTAAAATTTATAATGTCCCGAGATCGACAGTACAACGGTTAGCAAAAATGACTGAACTGAGTCCAGATGAAGCAATACTTAAGAAACTGGGAAGCGAAATTCTATGGTTTAACGCGGACTGATATCAAGCGAATGACATTTAATCTCACTGAATTAATTGGATTAAATCATCCCTTTATGCAGTTAAAAAAAGCTGGTAGAGGTTGGCTAGTTTTGTTCTTGGCGCATCATAAAAATACATTGGATTTAAGGAGACCACATGGAACGTCTTTTGGATGGGCAGCTAGTTTAACAAAGAGAATGTTCAAATATTTTTTGATCATCTGAAAAAAGCGCCTAATAAATACAATTTTTTTAGTAATCAGGTTTATAACGTAGATGAAACAGGCCTAACCATTGTGTAGAATAAAATTGTAGCAATATTGGGGCGCAAAGGAAATAGACAAATCGCATCGCTAAATTAGGCTGAGAGATGATCATTGATCACTTTTTGATGAAATTTTATCCCACCCATGTTAATCTTCCAAGAAGGAATATGAATGTGCAACTCATGAAAGGTACTCCTCCTGGATAGATAGATATCAGCCGTTGATCCTAGTGGTTGGTGCAGTCTTATTTATTTACGCAGTTGTTTAAAACATTTCATAGATACCGTTAAACCCTCTAAAATTTTCCTGTACTTCTTATATTGGATGGATACTACAGCCATACTCGGAATTTAGATGTAATCAATCTGAAAAGGGAGAATACCATAATTATAATTTCATTACCTCCACATTCAACACACAAACTGCCACTGCTAGACAAAACTTTCATAAAAAAGTTCAAGGCATACTATAGCAAAGAAATCAGACAATGGTTACGTCATAATAACCGCGCCCTCTCTCAGTACGATATTGAAGAACTTTTTTGAAAAGCATGCCTTAAAAGCTAAACTGGAGAAATTGTTGTAAATGGATTCCGCGCCACTGGGAGTTATCCATTGAATAAGACTGATACCAAAAACACCAGAAACCAGAAACATCAGTAAACCAGGTCCTTCTGGTTTGCAGAAGTTTGTAAGTCCGCAAGCCATTGAACCTGATATTCTACCAAAAACACCAGAAGCCAGCAACATTAGTGAACCAGGTACTTCTGGTTTATGGAAGTTTGTAAGTCCATTTGCCGTCCATCATTGATTCTTGAAGCAATGAAAAAATACTTGTAATTCCTAGTAACGAAACCAAAAAGTTTAGATGTTTTTATTGAAATAGAGTTTATACACGACATTACAACGGTACAAACACTCTTTTTTACTAAAAAATTAGGCACTCCATCTGGGCAAGCAGTAAGCTTATTGGCCGGTCATTTATGCTATTAAAAATATCGGACATGGTAATCGTAGAAGGACAAATATTTGTACTAAAGTTGCTATTTAATGGATGGATAGGTACTTAAAGGTTGTTGTTATTTGGTGAATACAAGTTTGGAAGACGTTCATAAATAAATTAGCTATGTCCTGATTATTTGGTAGAGATTGGAATTGATAAAGTAAGGAGTAAATGATTTTGGATCATGTTTAGGCCAGTGAGCATGATTTTTCTTCAGAGTCAGTCTAAGATCAGCAGAGAACCATTTGAGAAAAGTTGAAGTTCTGTGTTACTTCAACAGCATAAGGTAAGCAGTTCCTATAGAAAAAGCTTCATATAATAATTTTATACGAACATCAATATTATTAACCATACATACCTGCCAGTCTATGGAAGAAAAAAAGTTGTTTACCGCTATTTAATCGACATTCCGAAAATCATAAAACAACCTAACATAAACCAAGTTATTTCTATTTGTTTCTTTCACATCGAGGTTTAAGCAACATTCATAACCCACATGATGGATGCTAGGATCTACAAGGGGATCGATTGCTTTTACGATACTTAGTTCCCTAACATTATAAAAATAGTATATTATTTTATGAGGCGGAGAGGCATGACTTTTCTTGACGCGCCCGATATTACGCGCCGAACGAAGTGAGGCGCGTAATAGAGGGCAAGTCAAGAAAAGTCGCTTCTTTGCCGAATAAAGTATACTATTTTTTCTTCAAACGTAGCAATTTTCAACCATAAATAGTACAATTCATACTTTTACTGGCATATTTTAATATAATGGAAAATGAAAATAAATGGAAATCTTCTACAATGTGGTCACGATACTCTATGATAAAATTCGAGTTAGTTATTAGAAAAAATGTGGATATAAGCAAATTTTTTCTTTTTGAAAAAAAAAACAAGCGAAAAAAATATACTGCAAAAAAGTCTAAAGTTTTCACTAAAGACTAGTTTAATAAATTTTTGTTTGAAGCGCCAGATAAGTTGTATTTAGGATTAAAGGTAAAAAAATTTTATTGCAAAGCATGTAGTATACTAAATTATAAAAATGATAAAAATGAAGACTGTGGACATTGAGGATAAAGAAAATGTAATAATTATCAAAATCTCAGACAGTAAAACACGACAAATCAGATCTTTTACAATAATTGGTCAAAACTACATTAAACTGTATAAAAAGTATGTATCACTGCGGCCTGAAAATTTCACAAAAAACCGATTTTTTATCAAGTACCAAAATGGAAAGTGTTACCGAAGCGTCATGGGAATACGACGAACTTCAGCAACACTTTTAATTGATGGAGGCGGAAATCTAGAATGCCTCAAACGACATGGAGGCTGAAAATCAAGCACGGTTGCCGAAGGATATATAGAGGATTCAATAAGAAATAAGAACGATAATGCTCAAAAAACTTTAAACCCTCATGATTCGCCAACATCGGGAATGATTGCTGAAAGTTGTTCTCGACCATCAGTATCATCAACAATTACCAATGCGTATCAAGGATCAGGAAAATTTTTGCACGGTTTCAATTTTGAAAATGCCTCATTAACAAATTGTACTTTTAATATTACTATAAATAAAAATGATGTTTAATTGTTGTTAATGACATTTGTATTGTTGCTTTGTGACATGTTTCATATTGTTGCCATGACAACATTTTTCCCTCCGCCGTAAAGAAATGGGAAAAAAATTGCTGCCGGCGGAGACATTGAACTTTGACAGGATCAAGGTAGATAAGTAATGTCATCGTTATTTGACGTTTAAAGAAAAACTAAATTTTTCGCAAATCGCCAGGAAATTTTGACATTCCTGTCAAAATTTCTTGAAGAAAAAGTCAGGACTTCCTTACTGTAAGGAAATGTCATTTCCTTACTGTAAGGAAATGATATTTCCGTACAGTTGTTAGTGTTCTACATAAATGATAGAAAGTTTGACAATTCAACCTCAATACGTTTCCATAGTAACCCAAGTAATTTTATTAGGAATTTCAAAGCACCATTTATTTGGGAATAAAATTATCGCGTTTTTTTAAATCAATCAATATCTGTCGAATTTTAAACGATTTGCGGAAAAATAGTATGTGTACCTCGTAGGAAAAGCCACATTCCTGGGCTCTGTGTTGCTAATTCTCGGCTTGCGCCTCGACTTAGCAATCTTCACAGTCGTCCAGGAATGTTAAGCTTTTCCTACCCGGTAAACAATGTACTATTATTACGATTATTTGGAATATTATTACGTTGATACAATTTTAAAAAACCAAAGGCTTGAGCAATATTCACAGTTGGATCACCTGCAGCATCATCACACCAAACTCATCATTTTTCCATGATGCATTGGGAAGATTTTAATCGTCAAAAACATAGATATCCTGTGGTTAGTACTGTAGAATGACATTTTCCACAGTTTGACATTGCTAGTTGTATACTTCGCGAGGTGATTGTGGAGGTTTGTAGACACTACCGACCACAAACTTGACTTAATTAAGTTGACATTAAGTTGATAAATTATACATTTGTTCAACCTTACGTTCTTATTTTAATAAAAATTTATAAATATACAGTGAAATTTGTATCAGAAAACCAAAAAAACTTTGAAATGAAGACACATTGGATACTCTTCTCAGTATTTCCACATTTACTAATTAAAATAGTTATATACTTACTTATCGAAAGGTTTATTTCCCCATATATGAGCTAAGCTATTAACAGTCCATGTTTGGTTTAATACCATGACATTTCTTAGAAAATAACATATCAAGACACTGTTCCAAAAGGTCTCTTTCCAAAAATATATGGGGACAGTGACGGGAAACACGATTGCTATAGAAATGTAAAGTATAGTGTACCAGCTAAAAAATAAATTATTTTGATTAATCTATTTATACCCACTTTATTTACTAAAAGTTTTTATTATATTAATTACTAAAACTGTGAGTAATTATATAGTATAAGGATTGTTCTTCTTCTTCTTCATATACCATCTTCTCTAAGAAGGTTGGCAACCATCATGGCAATTCGCACTTTCAATACCGCTGCTCTAAAGAGGTCAGCAGAAGTGCAATTAAACCAAGCTTTCAAATTGTTTAACCAGGAGATGCGTCTTCTTCCGCGACTCCTTCTACCCTGTATTCTTCCTTGCATTATTAATTGCAACAAGTTATAACGCTCGCCTCTCATGACATGTCCCAGATATTGCAGTTTTCTGACTTTAATTGTATTTAAAACCTTATTATCTTTTCCCCTTTTTCTCAACACCTCAACACTCGTGACTACATCCACCCAACTTATTGGTAATATCCTTCTGTAGGCCATAACTCGAAGGCTTCTAATCTACCTAAAACATCTTTTTTTATGTCCAAGTCTCCAACCCATAAAATATTACGGAGAACCCGTAGCATCTCAGAAGTCTTATCTTTAAAGGAATTGAAATGTCCCTACTACAGAGTATTTTTTTCAGTTTGTTGAAAGAATTTCTTACTTATCCTATTCTTGCCTTAATCTCTTCTGTGTACTCGAAATTTTCGTTAATTTTTGTACCCAGATAGGGAAGAAGACACGAAGAGAGAAATCTCAGGAAAAGAAACGATCCATCAAAATACGAATAACAATGGCAGGAGAATATGTAATCTAGCAGCAGCAACCAATACTTTTATTATTAGCACTCAATTCAAGTACAAAAAAGAGCACAAAGTAACGTGGCTAATACCTGGAACAACAGATGGAAACCAAATAGACCACATCCTAATCTCAAAAAAATGGAGAACAATTTTACAGAATGTAAGGTCTTACAGGGGAACCAATGCTGATTCGGATCACATTTACGTGATAAGCGACATGAAATTGAAGATACTTAAAGATAAAAACGACAGAAAGAAAAGAAAAAGGTGGAATCGGTCAAAACTAAATACAGATAATGCAAACAGAAAATTCTGCACTAAATTGGAAGAAAAACTACGAGTCCTAAAACCATCGAACATAGATAAAACATGGGAAGACATAAAATATAGTATCTTAACAACAGCAGAGAGGACGATAGGACTAATGGAAGACAATAAAAGAAAGGATTGGTACGATGAAGAATGCATGCAAGCTAGTAAAGACAAGGACAAAGCAAGACACAAGTGGGTGGCCACAGGGAAACAAGAAGATCTCCTATACTATAAAGAGAAAAAGAAAGAGTCAGACAAATGCTGCAAAACAAAAAAGAAGAAATGGATCGAAGAATTACTGCAGGAACTCGAAGCCAATAGTAATGACAATGCAAGACTATACAAATACATAAAATCACAGAGAAAAAAAGAGATACCAGCAAATATTGGAAAAATTGAATGGGAAACACGACTATAGAGAACTGTTTTAAAAGAAAGACGATGCTGAAAACGCAGAAAATGAAGAACAAACAGAAAATAGGAATGGAGAACAATCAGAACCTCCCTCATACAGCGAAGTATTGGCGACTATAAACAGATTAAAGACTAGGAAAGCAGCAGGACCAGACGACATTATAAATGAGTTCTTCAAGAAAGGGGGAGAGGAACTGGCCCACAGAATCCACAACCTAATAGAACGAATATGGGAAGAAGAACGCATGCCGAACGACTGGAATTGTGGTCTGATAACACCAATCCCTAAAAAAGGCGACAAGACGAAATGCACTAACTACAGGGGAATCACGTTATTAAATGCAATGTACAAAATATTAACTAACTTGACCATACAAAGAATAGAAAAAGAAACTAGAACAAAAATAGGTGAATACCAACATGGATTCAGAGAAGGTAAGTCAACAATAGATGCAATACACATTGTAACGCAAATCGTCGAAAAAAGTTACGAGCACGGAGTAGATCTACATATACTGTTTATTGACTACAAGCAAGCTTTTGACAGTGCAATAAGGGAGGAGCTAATTAAGGATATGAATAAATTAGGCATCAAAGATAAACTAATAAGTCTCACGAAAATGACGATGAAGGAATCCAAGGCACGAATCTTAACAAGGGAAGGCCCGTCAGATTAAGTACAAATGGAGGTAGGTGTCAGACAGGGAAACTCCCTGTCAACAACATTATTTAACATTGCCATATAGGGGGCAGTAAGAGCAGCCAAAATTATGAGAACGATTATCGAATCTTCAGCCCAACTGATTGCGTATGCAGACGATATTGCACTGGTTACTAGAGATTTAAAAACCATGCAGAGCATAATATTAATACTAGATAAAGAAGCAAAGAAGAGAGGGCTAGTAATAAACCAAAGCAAAACGAAATACCTCAAGTGTTCAAGAGAGAATACGAACATAGAGAAAGAAATTAAGCTTGGTACATATACATTTGAAAGAGTACACCGTTTCAGATACCTGGAGTGATGGTGAATGACAGAAATGATAGAACGGATGAAATAAATGAACGCATCCTACTGGGTAATAAAACCTACTGTCACTACCAAAAATTCCTGAAAGAAAAGCACATTAGTAAGAAAACCAAATAAAAAATTTACAAGACTGCAATCAGGCCAGTGATGCAGAGACGATGTGCCTAACACAAAAAGATGAAATGAGGTTGGAAATCTTCGAGAGAAAGATAATTTGACGAATAATGGGACCGGTGAGGATAAATGTAGGCGAATTTAGAAGATTAACTAATGAATAAATTAAAGAAGTCATCGAGGGTGAAGACATAATCAAGTTCGTGAAGACGCAAAGGCTCAGGTGGCTGGGCATACAGAAATAGCTAACCCAAACTCTACGCTGAAGCGAATAACTGGATGGAGACCACCAACAAAGAGACCAAAGGGGAGACCCAAAACAAAATGGAGAGATCAAGTCTTAGGAGACATAAAGAAGCTGAGAATCTACAATTGGAAGGAGCGCTGTAAGGACCGGAAAGAATGGAGGAAAATTGTAGACAGGGCCAAGTCACACACGCTGCTATAATAATAAAAAAACACAGCGGACTGATTCTCCGCAATAAATGAATCAGAGAGCCCAAAAGGGCGGCAAACACACCACCAGGAGTGAATAAGCCATGATGATGATGATGATGATTGTACCCAGATATTTATATTTTTCAACTTTTTTAATTTGTTTCCATGTATTGTTATGTTTCTTGGTGCTGTTGGGCTTTTGTAATTATCATGAATTGTGTCTTTTTGGTGTTTAGGGACAGTATGTTTTCTTCACCGGCTTCTACCACTCTGTCAACCATCTGTTGTAAATCCTCAAGACATTCCGCTAATAAAATAGTGTCGTCGAGAAACCGTATATTATTGATTGGTCGGTCATTTACTTTTATTCCCATTGTTAGTTTTTCTAGTGCTTCCTGGATTATTTCCTCTGAATACAAATTGAACAAAGTAGGAGACAGGACACAGCTCTGCCTCAATCTGTATTTCATTTGAAAAGACATTGTTTTCTTTTACCACAGCGATCTGATTATAATAGATAGCGCTAGTAATCCTGATGTCTCTCATATCCAAATTTTTCTTTTTAAGTAATTCGATAAGACGGTCGATATGTCTGACCTTATCGAACGCTTTTTTGTAATCCAAGAAACATATATCCTGACTGATTAACATCTATGCACCTTTGCACAAGTACATTCACAGCGAATAGGGCTTTCCTCGTTTCCAGTGCATTTCTAAATCCAAATTGTGTGTCACTTATATCTTGCTCAAGTTTGTTGTGTTTTCTCCGATTTGTAATTTTTTAAAATATTTTGAGCGTATGACTCATTAAACTTATTATCTAGGTAATGTTGACATTAGCCAATCTCTGGGAATGATTCCTGTACTGTATATTGTATTGAATAAGTCGACCAATATTCCAATTTGCTGTTCTTCTATTAACCGTATTATGTCTACAGGTATTTCATCAGAACCTGTTGCCCTGTTTTTCTTTGTTTGATTTATCGCCTCTAATACCTCATCTTCTGTTATATCTGGGCCGTTGTCGAACTTTTTTTTCGACTCTAGTACTATCTCAGTCCGTTCGTCTTTAAATAGCATCTGGTCTCACTTAGTCCTAATATTTTATGTCTTCCCATTTCCTGAATGACATTATGGACTTTACCTGTTTGTTATATTGACTTAACATTCTACGTGCCTATCTTCATACACTTTCTGTTGATTTTAGTCTTCTTTATGGACGATGTGTTACTAATGGGTATTTCACAGGGATTTTGTTCACCGGATTAGTATAAGGATACTTAAAAATACGAAATGTTTGTTTGACTTAACTTAGAAAGTATTAAAAAGCTCAAATTTTATTGTGTTTCTTTAGTAAAGAATTGCAAATGTCAGAAATATTTACTCATCTAGATACTATTGGTATTTGTCTTTAGGTGACATTTTTAGCTAGTCTATTTTAAGCCTTAGTTGAAGACATTTTTTAAATAATACAGACATCAAAAAATTAATAGTATGTAAAAATTTTCGTACTCCCTTTGGATCCTAACTAATGGATCGGCTTCTAAATCAGACATATCAATATTTTTTCCTTTTTCTTTAACTAGAGGATGTTTCCTGCTCATTAACCATCCCATATGTGAGAAAAAGAATCCTCTGTGTGCATTGTGGGGATCTGCGTCTGTATCGGTATATTTATGGTGTAATCTGTGATCCCTTACCCATACGTACATGCAATTCTAAAAAAAAGAAATTACATAAAGAAATATATTCACAAACATGTTAAATATAATTCAATACTTATAGGTATTTAACATATTATTTAATAGACTGGTGAGAGTACAAAAACCTTTTAGGCAGACAATAAACAACATCACGATGACAACTACACCTCCATTGGATCAGGACTAAAGAGAAAAAGAGAAAGGGAGAGACCAAGATCCGGAATTACTTGTTTCCGACGTTAACCACGTATTTAGAACCAGACTTTTTTCTTGACGACTATAATTAATTGTTAAGGCAACAGATGAACAATTAGTTATTAGTAATTTTTCTATGTTCAATCAGATATACACTGAACCATAACGCCAAGTTTGCGATAAATTTCTGGACAGAACAACGGTTGTATCTTTGGAAGATCTTAGACTTTCTTTTATCCTCTTCATTTATAGTAGATTCAACGTAATGGTTTGATCATTACTTCGACAGTATGACTTGTTTATGTAAACTGTAACGTAAAAACAAACTTGCCCAATCTATTATCTATTATCGTCATTAATTTGATTACAATTTAAGACTGTCGATGGGGCTCCCTCAATTAAAGGTATGGATTACCACCCATAGAACTGCATCCTAATTTTTTATCCTGCTTCTTGTATGTTCGTCTTTTGTTGTTTTTACACGTGTCGCCAGGATCTTAAACCCTGACACCAAAGCTCCAATGGACAAGCTGTAATTTCAGCCACCCATTCTGGTCCAATTTGGGCCAGACGCTGCTTGACTTTATACCAACCATAAAGTCTGTGATACCGCTTTCATGTCCAAAGACGCGAAGAATGGCAGTAAAACAAGATATACTATGCTGACAAGATATCTATCTATCTATCTAATCAGCCTTAAAAGCCCACTTTTTGGCATAGGCCTCCCCTGTTAATCTTCATTGGTCTCTATGTTGGGCGATCTGCATCCAGTCCTTTCCTGCCGTTCTCTTAAGGTCGTCACTTGATCTCATCTGTGGTCTTCCTGTGGTCTTCCTTGACAAGATATAAAAGATATTCAAGAAAAATATTTAATTTGGTATGAGCCCTCAATAACTGGTATTTACTCACTATGGTGACAATATTTAAACAAAAAGTACTGGTGTCCAAAAATACAAATAAACGGTCACAAGTGGCATACCAGATGGACAAAGCGGCACTTTCTTTTATTTGAGGCTTCAGACCTACATTGGAAGGTTTGTAGATGCAGACCTAGTTCTACCATACTCGTGAGACTAGACTGGGACAAATAAAAACAAATGAAAACAAACACCAATACTTACAAAACTATTTCACAAGAGGATATCCAGAAGTCAATGCAAAAGTTACTAGTTCCCACATAATCGGGTTTCAAGCCAACATTAGAGGATCATTTTGCCATTTTACATTAAACACCAAAAAACTGAAACTATTTCTGCAATTCTTATCCCAAGTGTTGAGAATAAAACTTTAAAAACGTGAGGGTGTAGTCTCCTTTAGCTACATTTCCAGATTCTATACGCTCTAGTATTTTCTTCACTAGTACTTCTTTTTGGCATTCTTTATTTCAATTTTTACTAATTTTCTTTGCTTTTTATTAATATTTTTTCCTTTTAAGCTTTTTTCTTTTCTGTCCTCATAGTTTCTAGCTTCTAAGTCTACCAAGAACATTCCTTTTTTATAAACTATTACAGTATTTTTCCCCAGACCCTTTTTTCGAACATTATGAATACAAGATTTCATATTGGTATATTATACATAATATATGAAAGGTTCGGAAACATTTCCGCGATCAGGTTAATAAAAATTACCAATTTCTCGACAAGAACCGCGTTGAGAATTTAAAACTCGACGTTTCGACATCCATTTTGAAGCCATTATCAAGACGTACATTAATATGGTTCCTTTCGAGTTTTCCATAAATTCAAGAACCGTCAAACAACATTGATGTCTTAATCTGCCTACTCCTCAGTGTCGAGTGACGACCGCTTCTTACCCTGTGTAGCTTCTTTTATACCCTCAGTATTCGTGAGAACGGTTTGAGCGGGACCAGTTGGTACAGCGGTCACCATTTTGCCGGCAGTTTTTTAGCATCGTCATGCTTTTTTAAACTGTTACGGTGTTTTTAACTGCGATGGCTGTAACACTCGATTTTAAGGAGCGGAAAAGAGCTATAGATTTTGTTTGTTTTATATCTATTTTGTGACCTGTCTGAATATGATGGGCTAGTGCTGAAATAGTATCGGAATGTTTTATAGATATAGAATGTTCGTAAATACGGTTGTCAATTCGTCGGTTTGTTTGTCCTATGTATGTTCGTGGATAATTGGAATAAGGTATGTCGTAGACACCATGGACTTCATTGGGGATTTTGTCTTTCACGGATCTGAGGAGATTTGACAACTTGGAGTGAGTAGTGAAGATGGTTTTGATTTTTAGAAGGTTAAGAGTTTTACTGATCTTGTAAAGATGGTAAGTTGGAATTGTCTTTAGATCTTTATGAATTATCTATTGATTTGGGTTTTGTGGTAGCCATTTTGTAATAGTATGTTCTTCTTCTTCCTTTTCTTTATAAGCAATTCTGCTTGTTCATTAGCGGATTAATACCTTTATGGAAGGTTGTCAGTTCATCTTTTGCGCGGTCGTCCGATACTTCTTCTGCCGATTGATGACTTTTATCGCTTTTTGATATTCTATTAAACTTAAAATTGATATACTTACGACATAGTTCTCCCTGAATATTCAGTAATACTAATTTCAGTGAATGGATATGTGTCCTAAGCCTAAGAGATAAGGAGATGATAAGGTTTATGATGAACTTTATACAGTAATACACGAAAATCAAAACCATTAGAGATAAAAGTATAGATTAAAAAGTAATCCTAATTAAAAATTATAAGCGGCTCTTACCTGACCAGCCATTGTTTGACATATCATCAAAATGAGTCTCAGACCAAAGGAGGCTTTAAATGTTTTGTGTGAATAGTACCTGTGAGCACCCATTGTAATTCCCTCTCCAGACATTAGAAGAATGACGAAAGCTAAAATAATATCAAAGTATAACTAATAAGTTATTCCTACATTTAAAACATTAAGTAATGAGTAAAAATCCATTAGTTTGGTTAAGGAAAAAACCATAATTAACTTGTACACCGATTTTTCGGACAGTTAACTTCGAAGGCCAAAATATTACTGAAATATAGAAAAACCATATTCAAAATAAACTCTTAACAGGATCTTAATAAATCCAGTATTTATATGTTTGAAACAGTATTTGTTATTGAAAATGTGTGTTGCCTGTGATGACCTATGGTGCCGAAACTTTGACATTGACAGCTACAAGTTCTAAAACGCTGCAAATAGCTCAGAGGAAAATGGAAAGGTCAATGCTGAGTATATCGCTTCGTGATCGAGTTAGAAATGAAAACTTAAGAAGAAGAATAGGAGTTACCGATTTAATTTTCCGAATTGCCTCACTCACTTGTAACTGGGCCGCACACGTCGTGCGAATCAGTGATGAAAGGTAGATGAAGAGATTGATTGAGTGGAGGCCGAGGTTGGACAAAAGAAGTAGAGGATGACCCCCTACTCGTTGGACTGACGATCTCAAGAAAATGTCAAGAAATTTGATGAAAAGTGCTCAAGATACAGCTTTTTACCTTTCTTGGATTGACAACAAAAAACTTTAGGAGAAGTAAAGGAGAATTGGTTAAGAGGTCCTCTTTTGTACTCCGCATTTTTTTGCAAAAAAATGTCAAGACAGATACTTACAAATTATGAAATATTTGCATTTCTCTAACAATGAACATGCAGAAGCTGGAGATCGCTTGTATAAAATAAAGGAGGTTTTGAAACAAATAAAACAAAGATGTATTATTTAAGGGAAGACCCCTTTTTTAAACAATACATAAAAACCAAAGGCCACCGTTTTGGTATAAAATTTAATGTTACATGTGACTGCGAGACTGCATCGGAATACTGCACATCGGAATAATGCACATGCATTATTCCGATATTAACTTATGCAGCACAAACATGGACAATCACAAAAAGAATATGAATATACTTAGAGTCACTCAACACGCGATTTAAAGAGCAATGCTAGGTATATCACTTAAGGACAAGAAAATAAACACATGGATAAGACAAAAAACCAAAGTCACCTATGTGGTGCAAAAATCATTAATGTTGAAATGGGAATACGCTGGATATGTAGGTAGAAGCGATCTAAACAAATGGCACAGATCAATTTTAACCTGGAGACCATACCAACACAAAATACCCAGAGGCAGACCTCCTATGAGATGGACAGATGATCTGAAAAGGACTGCCGGGAAAAATTGGCTACAAGTAGCGTACAATAAAAAACAATGGAAATAAGACTTGAAGAGGTTTATGTTCAGATGTGGACGTAAATGGCTAGACAAAGTGACTGCGAGACTGGTTTTGTTTTGGATTTTGTTGTTTATGTTGGGAAGAATACATATTCTACCGAAGAAACTATCAAAGGGTACCACTGGAAATGTTGTGGCTCAGCTTATGAAACCATATCTAAACAAAGGCCAGTCACTGTTTAATGCCAATTTTTATAGCAGTATAATCTTTTCACATTATTTGTATGAACATAAAACAAATTCTTGTGGGACTGTTAGATCTAAAAGGCTTCATAAGCCTTCTTTGCAAGAAAATTTTAAAAAAGGTGAAGTGGATTGGAGAAATTCAGACATTTACTTGGTGTTTAAATGGAAAGACAGGAGAGATGTTATGATGATAACAACAATGCATGAAAATAAAATGATTGTTCTTGACAAAATTGATTATATTATTAAAGAACCCGTAAAGAAACCAGATTGTGTTATTGAGTATGTGTGTATGTATAGCGTTAACAGATCTTTTAGGCCCATTGCTGGATAAATAATTTCCATTCTGTTTTATATTCTTAGCTAACCGCTTCCAATCTCTGATGCCCATATCTCTGACGTCTTCCATCACTATATCTCTCCATTTCTTTTTTGGTCTTCCTCTCTTTTTTGTCCTTAGGTACTCTTCAGCAATAATTTTGACTATTCTATCACCTTGCATTCTTTCTAGATGACCGAGCCATTCTAGTCTACGTTTTTTCACCACTTTTGTTAATATAGGGTTAGCATACAAATGATACACTTCTGCATTAGTTCATCTTCTCCATTCTTCCTCTACTAATTTTCCACCAAATATTCTGCAAAGTATCTTTCTTTCCCATGCTTCCAATCTATTCTGTATGGTTTTGTTCATAGTCCATGTCTTGGCAGCGTATAGCATTGTGGGTCTAATTATAGTTTTGTATACTCTTATTTTTGTATTACGAGATATATCTTTGGCCTTAATTATTTTGCGCATGGCTCCAGTAAACCTGTTGCTCTTGGTCAGTCTCAGGTTGATTTTAGCTTCTTCCTTACATGTATGATCAATAAGAGTACCTAAGTACATATATTCATCCACCTTCTCGAATCCTACAGCTGATCCATCCTCCACCTCCAATTTAAAGGATCCCCTGGTGTTTATTCCTTTTTTTTTCTAGAGATCTCCATGTACTTCGATTTATTAATATTAACTTTCAGTCCCATTTGAGAGCTTTCCCGAATCAGTCTTTTTGTTATATTTTAAAATTCTTTTTCATTTCTTGCAATGAGAACCACATCATCAGCGTATGCTAAGCATTGGTGCTCCTTGTTATTGAGTACAATAAACAAATGGAGTCAGTCGTGATATGATGAAAAGTAGCATTCATTGCATGAGGGAGACCAGAAAATGGTACAAACAATTATTTTCTCTTACAGTAGATGTACTAAATGCCCAGGCTATGTTCTTGACAAACCAGACTATGCCAATGCCGGTTGCGAAATTTCAACTATATACATCAGATTTTTAGAAGGTCAGTTTTTGTGTTTCAGTCGTTATTACCAGGCATTATAGCTTTTTTAATTTCAGATACGAATATTAAGTTAAAAATCCCAGATCCATGTCAGCGGATATATCCATATTAAAGGAAAAGCGTTTTCGTTCATTTGTTCCAGCAACCGAAAAGACAAAAACTGTCTCCAGAAGATGTGTTTAATGTGTTGTGTGTGTGTCAAAAAAACGCAAGTTATCGAAAAACATGTGTAAAGAATGTGCTGTAGTTTGTGTGTAGTTCCATGCTTCGAGACATACCATCCTAAAGAAATTTTTTTAAAAAATGCACTTTTTACAAAAAATTTAAAAAAAAATGTTTTTTATTGTTTTTCAATAAAAGCTATATATATATAAAGCATTCCTTATAAGTGCCGTCCTGAAAAGGTTAAAGCATCTCAAGAACGCCATTTTCTTTTACTCCAGTATTGGTCTATAGCATTGTTATCCTAAAGACACAGGAAACATGGTTATTTTGTATAGCCACCTTGTCCCAGGAGAAATTTCACCATCTTAAAATCAACACCCCACTGATGTTGGTCATACTTGATGTTTTTTAGCACCAGCGATATTGTTTTATATTCTTTGTTCATTTTTGTACAATGCCCAATTGGTATACTTCCATATTTCTAGCCATTTGTAAAAGGACACACTTTAAACTTCGTTTGGAATTGTCCAAAAAAAGACGCCAGTGATCTGGTTTATACTCCGATACCCATTTTTTAAAGGACCCAATAGTCCTTTAATATTGTGACAAAAAACCATATCATCTTGCTGAGAAAACAAAGGTAAACTATGTTTTTCTTTATTACGGTAGTATGTAATTTTGGTGTTTGGGTGAAGAAGATTCTTTTCGTTTAGTCCACAGGGAAGCATCTCGGAAGAATCCTTTGGAAGGTTCAAATCTCAACTTAGCTCTTCCTGAGAAAAGCGCTCAGGACGTGCTGAATCACTTTCAAAATCACTGTCGTCTTCCTCAAATCTATAAGTCTGTGTAGTAAGTCAGATAACGTTTCGACATTATCCTCTGGTAACGTAAGTAGTCAAAATCAGTCGATTTTTTTTCGACAGCAAGACAATTTTTTTTGGTGGCCTGTAAATAGACGAAGAAGAACAAAAGGCCTTTAACTCTGTTTAATCAATTATATAACAAAAGTCTTAAGACTTTTATTAATATATATAGGAAGATGGGTCATTTTAACCGAATAAATGATAAAATCATAATTTAAAAAAAAAAGTAGATTCGGGATATGTTCAATTGCTTTTAATTGGATATTTTGTCCGCCAAAACAAATTATCATTCTCAATCGATTATAATAAATTTATATTTGCATACAATGACAATGAGCATATTGTTATATTTGACGTAGATAATATTTTAAAATATTGGGAAATCGACAATGAATCAAAAAGTAAAATAATTTAATCACCTTGATGAGTATTACTATTTTTTTAATAGTTCAGACTTCATACAGATGTAGGATAACAAATATACACTATGTATATATAACACAGGATGTTTCAAAAAGGTATGATAAGGTAACTTACCTTAGTACAAAAGTATACACAAAAAAGTTACAGCCCTTTGAAGTTACAAAATAAAATTGTTTTTTGCATTATCTCGTAAACTACTTGACATTTTGTAATAAAGTAGGACACGTTACTTTCTTGTTCTGAAAGCATTTTTGCATACAAAAGAAACAACAAAATCTTATCGCACAGAAAAATTTTAAGGGGGTTTGTAGCCTTAATACCCCCAATTTTTGAGTACATTCAAATCAAATGAATTTTGTGGCATCATTAGTTTAACACATTATTTTTAAAAAAATTTGCCTCTTATCACTTTTTTCAAAAAACAGTTTTTATTGCGTTACGGCCCTTTTCATTAACCTTTAAAAAATTACGTGCAACTAAATAAATGGCTTAAATGAATTGACAAGTACAAAAAATGTATAAAACCTCTATACATATGATATTACAATAATTGTTTTAATAAGGAAAACCGAATACGCTGAAAAATCATATTTTTCTGACGAAATTGATTTATAGCTTCAATTATTTTAACCCTCCATTGTTGGTCGTCCTCAGTTGTTACAGAATACACTTTCTC